TGTAACACAAGGACCTCTTGTCACGACTAGTGACTTAACTACTGTTACGGTTATTCTCTATCTTCCTTCTTGCTCTAGACGGCGACGCGAGTCGACAATCAGATCATGTTTGACATCATGCTCAACCAATGTCGTCGTTATCTTCATCAGCAGCACCATCAAAAGAGTAGCTGCCATCATCACCATCGCCATACTACCCTCATACTTAAGAATTGTAATTCATGTCTGATGCGGGAAACTACTGCGCAGATTGCCGCTCTCCGCACAGGCGGGGTGGGGTACCATAGCGGCACCCCTAATTCGCGCAGCAGCAGGGGCAGGAGGGTGGGGTACCGAAGGGGGGGGATAAGGCCCGGGAATCGAAGCATACATGTGCGCGTTCCTTCCTAAACCATGACCAGCCTCAACAACCCAGGGGTGCCACACGAAGTAAGTAAGGGGAGCAGGGCGTTTGCAAGTGATCTGCAATGCTACGACCTAAGCCCTGGAGAGTTTATCATAAGAAGGTTGATGAGACTCTTTTCGGCAACAGCGGCTTGCCGCCGTGGCCTCAGTGCTAGTCATTGTGGGGCCATCAAGCATGTTAAGGGACATGTTGCAGAATTGCAGCTATACAAGTCCCAAGCGATGACTAGCAACCCAGTTACTATGCCAGTATAGGTGCGGCTTGATTCGAGAGCCTGCTGATTCCAGACACACCCCATTCCGGCCATGTTCTAGACTCCTAACCCTCGTCAGGCAGTTTCTGCCTGCCGTAACATGACGGTCAAGAGAAAGCTCTGCTCTGCACCTTATGACCATGATCATGAACACGGTGGCGGCGAGTACTGCTATAGTCCCGGGCTTTAGCTTGACCGTGACCTGAGTGCCATTAAGATGCTGCCGCTGCTGCTGCTGCGGCGGCGGTTAGAACGGTGTAGCATGGTGTAGCATCGGCAGTCAGTGATGCCTATGCGGCTCTGCTCGCTATTCTCGCTGATCCCAGCTACTGCTATTACTGCTCGTGCTAGTACTCGTACTTGTTCGAGTCCTCCTCACTCCTCCTCCTTCTGCCTCTACTTACTACTACTGCTACCACCGCCACCGCCACCACCACCACCACCACCACCACCACCACGACTACTGCTACTACTGCTGCTGCTGCTGCTGCTACTCCTCCTCCTCCTCCTACTACTACTACTACTCCTCCTCCTACTATTGCTATCATTACTAGTATCATTACGACGATTGTTGCTACTGCTAATGCTGCTGCTCCTGCTCCGACGACTTCTATTGCTACTACTGATACTCTGCTACAGCTATGGCTACGGCTACTGCTGCGGCAGCTGCTGCTGCTGCTGCTGCTGCTATACTACTAAGACTAACGACGACCAGTATGACTAGTGCTAGTACTACAAAGGCTAAGTCCGATTTTCATTGCTGCGACACTGTGATGTCTACCACCACTGCCACGATTTCTGCAACAATTAAGTGACATGAGTCCGACTACGCAGTGCAGTACGTGGTGCTGTCATGCTTTGCTCTCCGCCAAGACCGAGCTGGCATTGCCCTGCAGGTTTTTCAGCCAAGAGGAGGGTGGTGCCTATCGGCCCAGTGCTGCGAAGGGCCAGGGCCAGGAGTGGTGGAAGACCGAAGACGATTCGAAGCCGACGCAGGCAGTGGATGGCAGTGGGCGGGGCTTGGGGTTTCGGCTCTGAGCTTACTGTTTAGTTTGTGTTTTGGGAGTCTAATCCGTGTGGTGTCTTCGAGTGCGGCGTTTAGGGTGCCGGGTAGGATGAGGAAGGAAGTAAAATCCAACTTGATGCCGCAACACATCCACAGAACGTTGGGATAGATTCGGACACACGGTGATCCCTGTTCTGGGGTTTGCCAACCATCATTCCTTTGTAGGTTTGATTGTCCTGCAGACACCCCTGCAAGTGTTTGGCCTTCGCCTCTTCATCCTGCTTTGTGTGTCTTGTTGTTTACCATCTTAGATTGGCGAATGTTCTGGCTTCAAAACCAGCCGTAATGTCCTTCCAGGGCCAAGGATTGCGAGCATTTTCCTTCATGTGGGGAACAATGGACCATGGCAGACATCCTCTATAAAGAGTTTCGGACGGGTTCGCGTCCTGCCGGTCCAGCGTCGACGAGTTTGTCATCCGCCATCTTCTGTTATGTTCGGGCGTTTGCGGAACCAGTGGTCACTCAACACAGGCCTTTGAGGGTGTACGTTGTAATCGTCGTAAAGGCCACAGCAGACCGCAGGTACGATTTGGTAGGAGCCATGGCTTGTGTATGTTGTGCAAATCATAGCAGGCTTTGGAGGTGCGATTTGCTGTGGGCTTGTGCTTGTGGATACTGTGCAAATGGAAAAGAACGGAGAAGAACTGTGCGGGCCTTGGTTTTGCCAGCCGGCCGTTATTTCTTGCGTTTTCCCGTTTTCTTCTTGGGTTTGAGCCTTTCAGCAACCAACATCTTCTTTTAAAGTTCGCATAGGTCAGGCCTGGACCGACCGATG